AAAAATATCCCTATATCATATATAAAATATCCCGAAATATCCCGAAATTTAGAGCAATTTTTTACTTAAAATCCCGATTTTTCAAGTTTTGAGTTGGTCACTCTAATGATGACACAAATTGACAAACTTCGGCCCCATTATTATGTGCCCTTCGTATATAAGGACTGCACTCTCTTAAATGAATTTATATCTCTTTCTTATAATAATAATTTTAAATTCATAAAACAATTCAATGAAATGTAAGTTAATTTAAACATAATTTTAATTAATATTGAAGAGACTCGTGTGGTCTCCGAGGTTCAGGTTCGGCTCAGTTTGTGAATTTTATTTTGCAATAATAAAAAAATATATTTAGTTTTTACCGATACAAGTTTAATATAAAGATTTGTACATATAAAAACATTACTATTGATTTAATTAATTCGGACTTTTTTATTAGCTATTAAATAAGACTGCGTTTTATTTTAGATACCCTGTTCACTATTATTTTAATTATTAATTTAAATTTTCAGTCAATCTATATAATGTGATAGCTGATAAAGTTGATATAGTGATACCCATGGTAATATTAAAGGTTTATAGAATCACTGTTTCCCCCAACCATCCCACATCGGGGACACAGTGTAGTTATTTTTATATCTGAAAATTAATAATGTTCATTGTCTAATTTTGATCAATATTTAATTATATGAATTATAAATTATATTAAATATTTGCATTAAATAAACAAAAATCTATTTTAATACTATAATAAATATGAATTGTTTATTTTATTCCTCACTAACAATATAATATTTAAAATTAAAATACAGTAAGTAAATACTTTATATTATAATATGTAAATTAATTTATATTTTTAATTAAGAATACTTTATAATAACATTGTACAGTCTGACCCCGGTTTTGACATGTCATCGGTGCTGTAAATAATATGTGTCAAAATCGCATTCTGTTAAAATCTAGTACATTATTTGATTAGTACATTATTAAATAACAGTACTAATATGACTCAGTGGTGCTAGCAAAAACATGTGTTAAAATCGCGATCTGTCAAAATTGCGAATGTCAAAACCGGGGTCAGACTGTATAAGAAAAGTTTATATTAATAAATACTGTAATAAATATTATTTCATTTTTGTTTTTGTTGAAAATATAAACTGTAAACTCTGTTAAATGTTAAATATAATTGAAATTGTAAACAATGTTGAATTTTATGGGCAAAACTATTTCTGTTGCAACAAATGAGGTAAAAAATGAATTAATATTTATTAACCATAATTATAATTTTAAAAAATGTTATTACATAATAAACTTTTTAAAAGGTGCCGCCATTTATGTCAGGCGTTAAGCAGTATTTGAATGATAAAACACAAGCCATTGATGGCATCGACGGACAGTTATTGCGGACATTAAGTCTATGTTTCAATTTTACGTACCGTTTGATTAATTGTGATGGAGATTTTGGTCATAAATTGCAAAACAACACATGGTTAGGAATTATTGGAGAGGTTTATTATAAGGTCTAATATAATAATTTATTTTTACCTTATTAAGTATGATGATATAATGTAATGTATAATATTAATTAATATAATGTTTAATATAGAGGACAGACATTGGTTTCGGAACCATAAGTATATTACCTGATAGAACAGAAGTGGTATCATTTGGTTACCCGTATTTCATAGATAGTATGACATTCACAGCACCCGTACTCAACACTACCGACCGATACAACACATTATTAACACAACCATTTGATACATATATTTGGATATCAATTTTATTATCTCTGAGTTTCTTGTCTTTTACATACAATTTAATTATTTTCCTCAAAGATAAACAATTAAAGTTAAATTACGATTTCATAGCAATACTATTATCGCAATCTATTCGTGAGATTTCACCACAAATTACAATACGATTACTGATTATTGTATGGCTTTTATCGACAATTGTATTGAGTTATAGCTATAGTGGGGTATTGTTTGCCGGACTGTCGGCGCCTTTAAAACCACATGTCATTGAAACTATAGATGATTTTTTTCGGGCGCAAAATAACGGTAAAATAAAACTCGCTATTTATAAATATTCAGTCTATTTATCGGCCTTAAAACAACTGAGTGTAAATTATTTACGTAAAGGGGCAGTCAAGTAATCTTGCGGCTCGCGTTTTGGCTATTACTCCTAAAGTACAAGAGATAATTAGATTCTGTAAAATGGATATAATAGAGAATTATCGGGGAAATTTTTTTTATATTTCATAAATTTATTTTGGTCACGTGGTATACAAAATATGGGACAATTCGGAATGGTCATATTACAGGTCAAATTATAAGAGATGTGGACATGGTTTTAATGTATGATTTATAGAGGGATAAAANCGGTTGTGGTGATGTAGTAGAGGTGCTCCCGATCGCCGCGACCGACACCCGTCACGTCGATGAGTATATCACCGGTGATCAGTTTGAATGAGGGGGGCATTTGAAAGCCCGTGGCGTCGCATATATAGCCGGTGCCGTCGGCCGCGCACTGACAGTACGGATAATAGTCAAAGTAGTGGGGCGTCGGTGTCGGCGCTGTTGTGGTCAAGTTGTCTGAGTACATGTGTAGTGGGCTATGGGTTGTGGTGACGGTGGGCGACCGACTGGTGGGCGCCACCGGCAAAAATATGCGGGGCTTAACGCCGGGCAACAGCACTGAAGTGCAGCCGTCGTTCAGTTTGAGGTACTCCGAGATGAGATCGTAATCGCTTAGTTGGGTGTAATTGTGAGCGAATCCCGGGTCCGACAACTTGAGCAGACACGTGGCGCCCACACCCGACGGCAAGTGGAATGTGTCAGATATGTTGTCCGACTGGTGCGGGTGTTTGGGATCCCAATCCCTCTCGTCGTAGGGCATAACAGTGCCGCCCAAGTGTTGGGTGTAGTTGTAGTAGTGGGCGGGCGACAGGACCAGCGCCGGCAGATCTTGCGATTTGGGCGCTATTAAGGCCACACTCATCGCCACGCAGACGAAGAACGCCGGCAACAGTATCTGCGAGAACAGGCCCTTCCAGTTCCTCTTCGTACAGCACCACCGCTTGAACAGAATGGCCGAGAATTGGTTCATCAGTAGCCGCCGTTTGCACTCCACTTTCGCGGTCGGCATTTTCATGTACTCCCGGTTCTCCACTTTGAAGCCCGAGTCGTAATGAATGGCCGACGGGTGAGAGTTGACAGCCGCCGAAGAAGCTGCGGCCGCGGCGGCACTCGTCGACGGTTTGTCCCACGAATGCGTCCGTTTGTGGTTCTGTTGAAACGTTGTCTTCAATACATTGAAGTTCCAATTGGACGCCACTTTGAGGAATATCTCTTCCAGAGTAGTGTTCTTAAGGCCAAACGTCTGGACGTTGAGAGCGCACAGATTGCGGTGATTCTCGAGCGCCGAGAAGAGGCGGACAAAGTTCTTGAGCTCAACGTTAGGCAGAATGAAGTGAATCTCTTCGCGGGTCTCGAAGAGGTATTTACTGGTCGGCGCGTACTTCTGGACAAATGCTTGCACTTCGAGCGATGGCGGATCGGCTGAGCCACCCGTGTGATGGGTCCGGTAGTCGGGTGTCTTCACGAATATCAAGTGATAGCCTTCGCCTAAGTTGTGCTTCAGAAACAGCGGACTCCCGCAGCACTTGATCTGCCCGTTGGACAGTATGGCTATGCGATCGGACAACACGTCCGCCTCGTCCATGTGATGAGTGGACAGTAGTATCGTTCGGGTGCTCTTGTACTTGAGTATTAAGTCCCAAATGGCACGTCGGGTATACGGGTCGACACCGGCGGTCGGCTCGTCCAGAATCACCACTTTTGAGTCGCCGATGAAGGCGATGGCCACCGATAACTTCCTTTTCATACCACCCGATAGGCTCTCAACAGTTTTACCCCGTTTTATCGGTAACGAGAGGTCGGATATCATTCTGTTTTGGGCGTCAAATATACAATTAGTTACAGATATTGAGGTAATTATCGAATTACTTATTGATGTCCTCTTCAAAGTCGGCTCCGTTTCCTCCGTTGGCGTCTTTGAGCCTCGAGTAGAACCAGAGGTGCTCTTCAACTGTCAGTCTGAAAAACAAACCATTGTTTTTGAGACAATTTTGCATTATATGTGTCGCGAAACTCAATGGGAAACACATACTCGTCAAAGAGGACGTTATGCTGCGGACATATACCCATCGACTGTCGGATCACATCCATGTCGGTCTTGATGTCCAGACCGTAGATGTGTGTCTCGCCAGACGTGGGTGGGAACAGACCGGTCAGTATAGACATTGTGGTGGTCTTTCCCGCCCCGTTGTGGCCCAGAAAGCACGTGATCTGACCCTCGTATAAGTTGACGGACAGTTTGTTAACGGCCGGAGGGGTGCTCTTCGTGTAGCGCTATTTAAATGGCAAACAAAATCAATGGTAATTGAGACAAACCATTCACAAAGAGTGGTAAGTTTATTGATATGTAGAAGAATACGATCGCCGTATCCATACCTTAACCAGATTAAGAATAGACACACCGAGTGTCAAATTGATGGGTTCGGACTCGAAGTAAATCAAATCATTCAAATTGATGGACTCGGAGGGCGGCCTCGAGCGGGACTTCTTCCGCTCGGCGGACAACTTCTTGGAGCCCAACGCCAGTCCCGAACAGAACACGTCGTCGTCGCCAATGGGTGTTCCCAACCAATAACTCTTGGTGAACGGGAAATACCACGGTCTCGGCAGGCCGTAAGTGCCCGGATGGACGTTCTCGATGTACCAGACGAGTGTGCCGTATAGGAGCGCATCCAAGACCATCATATTGATCACATTCCAAAGGGTGAACTCGTCGTCCTCGACGGGAGAGGTGGCGATGTTAGACCACTGGACACCGACGCCCACCTCTTCGTAAAAAGCGAAATACTTGGCGCCCATTCCGAACGCAGTGGTCGACAGGAATGAGGCCAGAGTTTTGCCCCAAAACGGTATCTTATCGTTGGCGGTCTCCTCGCGGACGGCCAGATACATGCACGGGACGTATGTCAAGAAGTAGATGATACCAGCGCACGCCGCCGCCAACTTGGCCTTCGAGTACAACACCGATATCAGGAATCT